TAGAAAACCATGGCCATACCCTTTAAAAGCTTAAAGTATATACAACCAGAAAGTTCTATAAAGTCCAAATAGAAAAAGTTCAGTAGCATATAAAGTAGCACTAGAATGTGAGCTAAAATATGATAGTTATGCAAGATATAGAGTAAGAAAATGAGAGTTTCCAAAAGGGGAAAGATCATAAAAACCAGGAAGGAGTCAAAAAGAAGGACTGGAACTAACCGTGACCGAGCTGGAGGAATGAAGTACATCTATGAGATAGTTTTGGGTAACTAAAATCTAAATTTACTAAGGTCTGAACTAGGATGAGAGCAGAGGCAGCAAATTTAAAGGCATGGATCTGAGACCTATTTGAAGACAGAGGTCTGCTGGTCTTGTGACTAAATGGATTCAGGGATAGTGAGTGTGGCAAATTCCACCTACAAACCAGGCTAGAGGTAGCTGAAGCCCCAGCTAGAGGACTAGGCTGAGTCCAGACTGACCACTGGTACCTACAAGTGGCTCAACAGGTCCGAGTGGAGACTAGGCAGTGCACAGCTCTGGACCACCATGTTTCATTCTGTAAAAGATGCGGTAGTTAAGGCTGGTAGAAAGATGCCAGTGCCTCCAGCAGCAGGAGAAAGCATCAAAAATAGTGGAAAGATAATTGGGCGGGGCAGGGGGATGCTGGTGCAATTGACCGAGACACAGAAATTCCTCAGAGGAGTGTTCTGGAGGGAAAGTTGATGGGCAATGTAGTTGTATAGAGCTGGGGTCCCCGACCTGCGGGCCATGTACCGGTAGCGGTCCGAGGCCTGTTAGGAAGCAGGCCGAACAGCAGGAGCTGGTGGGTGGGCAGGCGAGCAAAGCTTCACCTGCCGCTCCCCACCACTCGCATTACTGCCTGTACCAACCAACCACCGCGCCCCCGTGGAAAAATTGTCTTCTACGAAGCTGGTCCCTGGTGCCAAAAAGGTTGGGGACCGCTGGTATAGAGGTTGAGTTTCAGATGACAGGAAAGCATCTACTGCCTTATGAGTGAGTTGGAAATGTGAAACCCACATTATCAAAAAAGGAGGGTTGAAACCATGACACAACCCTCCTTTTTTGTACAATTAAAAATACAATTCTCCCACTTACCCCAGGAAGGAAACCAAAATTAAAGCTTAGAAGAGAGATGGTAAAAAAGATGCAGAAGTCAAGAGAGAGAAGTTTGAAGGAACGGCCTGAATAGAATCAGATGAAATAGTGGTTGAGGAGATTTCTTCATGGGAAAACCTTTTAAGGCAGAAAAATCAAGCTTTCAGAGTGCATATGCTCAACCAAACAAACAGAACAGTCCCGTACTTGAAGAATTATGCCTGATTTTACGTGATAAATTGAAGGATAATGTGGAAAGAGCAGGCCGCATGATATAATCCTACCATAAAGCATTAAAGCATGACTCAGAAATTTATCCTACAGAAAGTTATTAATAGATCCTCCCTGTTTGCAGAACAGTACAAACATGACATGCAACCCAAAACAAAGGCCTTTATTCTCCCTTTTAACTTGCTTTTTAAAAATGTGGATTACAAAAAAAAAAATCTTTAATGATTTCAATGTTAATTTCAACCTACATCCAACAGTGAATAATCAATCTCACTGGCCAATAACTTTAAACTTTGCTTTGTTGGAATTTCTGGAATGTATTTTTTTTCTAACTTGGAAAGTTTTAAAGTTTGATAATAGTTGATATTATCAATTGCTTTTGTGTTTTCAAAAAGCACACCCCAAAGACCTGCTATTAAGTGACAGCCCTTCCCCACCCCTCCCACCTTTTTTTTTTTAAACTATTCTACTCCCATCATAGCTTCTGCAAAACACAGTTTATATTTATGGGTAGTTTATCAGCTGCACTTTTTCTTTTAGAACTAAAATTTTTTTAGAAATTACCCTTATGTATTCTAAGGCACAGCTTAAATTAGATGCTAGATTTTAGATGACTCTTTTACAAATGTACGTGTGCATGTATGTTTATTTGTGTATTTATGAAGATTAGTTTCTACTCTGACAGCCTAAGTCAGTAAAAGAATAGGCCAAAATTTAAAAGAAATTTTAAAAGAAAATGCAAATAATGCAGAAAAAATAAAAATGAGTAAAATAAAATAGAAATATGATAGATAAAAATGTATTTCATTAAAATTATGACTGTCAATAACAACAAAAGAGATAATATCAAAATTAAGGAAAACTGGGAATTCCCTGGCGGTCCAGTGGTTAGGACTCCTCTCACTGCCGAGGGCCCGGGTTCAATCCCTGGTCAGGGGAATTAAGATGCCACAAACTGAGTGGTGGGGTCAAAAAAAGAAGAAAAACTATGGTATTAAATACGGTAGGAGCAAGAAGAAAGAAAAACCATGTCTATGATACGTTAGCTCACCGACAAAGTAAAGCTGTGACCACAGGATAATACAATAATCTGAACGTTACTTTGACCCATATAAGAATCTGATAAGCAGGTTGGGTCTGTTACCAGATGCCCTTTTGCCACCTGTCTTGCGTCAGTGCTCTACAGTCCCCACCTCTTCTAGCTCCCTGGATGACTCCTCTTCATCCTCTAGTTGGACGTTCAGGTGGCCCCTGACATCCTCAGGCTGGGTTAGGTCCTTCTGTGGGGTTCTCGATGCCCCATGTGCATACCCCTTCAATACCACCCTCTATTACAATTGCTGTGTGTTTATCTGTTCCCGCCTCCCCACCACTAGACTGTAGCTAGCCCTGGAGGGCTGGGCCTCAACCTTTATTCATCCTCTTAACACAATACCTAGCAAATAGAGTTTTTAACTATATAAACTAATAAGCCATGTTCTACATCATCGATATGAATTAAAATGGGGCCACATATTAAGAAGAAACCCAGCCACACAACAGATAAAGTTAGGCAACTTGTAGGGAGAATCTGCAGGCTCAGAGCTATACAACTTTATAGCATAAGAAGGGAAATGATTTTTGTGTGACTAGCATATTTATACTTTCTACAAAAAGAACTAATAACATGTGGATTTGAAAGACAAAGAAACCCAAATGGAAAGGTATGAGTTAAGGTGTAGAAGCTAATTCATGATGGGATTTAAATTATAAAGGAGTAGTCTCCTGACCCTATGGAGCTACTTTTACTCAGGTAGATGTGAATCCGCATTGCAGTGCTAAGGAGACATTTAACAGTGGGAAACCTAACCCAACAGGGATGGGGTGGAGAGGGGACAGGACACAAGTGCTTATCTTTGCTTGGATGGATCCAAAACCAGAGTGTAAATACTCATGCTCACCTGGAATCTCTTCCTGCTTTAGTAGCTCTGCCTTTCCCTCTCAGCTCTGATCCACTTGTCTAACTGACCTTTACTGGGGAGCAGTGGGCACAGTTCACAGAAGATCTCCAGACTGCACAGCACTCCAAGCAAAGAGGGACCCGCCTCAGGGCCACAGGCAGCCCTGTTCTCCAAGAACCTACCAGCCCGAGGGAGACCTGATAGAGGCAGGGAACTTCAAGCCTGGGTGCAAACTCTAAACACAGAAACACGCAGCTTGTTTACTTCCAGCAAGTCATTGAAATCTGTGTTGAAAAAACCTTGGCAGCAAAAGAAATGACCTCACATGACCGTGATGGCAAGGGAGAGAAAGAGGCCTGTGTTCAAAGAATGTAAACAATGTCAACAGACTTTTGAAAATCAGCTTCCAGTGAATTTCACAAATTTGGATTCTTGAATACAAATAATCAGAGATGGGATATGGGGCTGGGTTTTCCAACTGAAACATTAACTTTTACAAAATGCAGCAGAACTTTAGAAAAGTTATAGGTCATCCACTGGAAAGACTGTGGCAACCTAACTCAGCTCTGGTTTTAAAATATCCAGACGCTCTGGAAACAATGAGGCACACTGACTAGACATTTCATCTTTCCAAGGCACATAAAGAGAGTATCCTGTTTTAGCAACTTTGCATAAATGGACATTAAAGGAGGAGTTGGCACCAACATCCTTGCTCGATGTTCTGGAAGACAAGGACTGCTGAGTGCTCGGATCTTGGCTTCCTGGTAAGCTCGTCCTGTGACCCAGCTCTCTAGGTGATTACGTGGCAAATGCTGCAGTTGCTAACCTTTTGCAAGGGCCTTAGATAACAAAAGAAAAATCAGACCCCTCAGCACAGGTCTTGTGTTTTTCCTGGCAGCACATTGGTAGCATCAGTCTATAAATTCAACAGCAGCATTATTTTAACATGGAAAGCAGTGAGTGCCCTAGCAGTGCACAGTCTCATAACTGTTCACATAAAAAGAACCACATGCTGAATCTCCTGGTATTTTTTTTTTTTTTTTCGTTACGTGGGCCTCTCACTGTTGTGGCCTCTCCCATTGCGGAGCACAGGCTCCGGACGCACAGGCTCAGCGGCCATGGCTTACGGGGCCCAGCCGCTCCGCGGCATGTGGGATCTTCCCGGACCGGGGCACGAAGCCGTGTCTCCTGCATCGGCAGGCGGACTCTCAACCACTGCGCCACCAGGGAAGCCCTAGTTCTATGTTTATATCAACATACTAAATTCTGTTTCTGCAAAACTCATAAAGGCATGCTAGAAAGCATGCTTATTAGAGTGATGTCTGTTTGTCCATCATCCTCGAGGGGAAAAAAGTAACATTTCAACAACGGTGTCCTTGAAAGATCAAGCGAGGGCTGGGGATACCTAGCTGCTTCTCCCGCTCCTCACGCCGCTCCCTCGCCAGCCGCTGCCGGTCATCAACGCGCAGCACTGGTGGAGGGTCTGAAAAAGAGAAAAAAAAACATGAGAAGAGGGGCAGATTTTAAGAAACGATATACACTGATAAATATCTTTTTGTCCAGTAAATCTGATGAATGAAATATTACTACATCTTACGTATAGTAACGTGACAACAATTAGTACATGTAACTATACTTTCAGTGATACACTTTATTATAATTTTCCTGAGAATTTCCAAGTATTATCTTCTATTTAAAAATATTACATAAGAGGTTAGATTCTAAGAGATCTCATCACAAGGAAAAAACCCATTTCTTTTTTTTTTTTGTATAAGATGATGGATGTTAACTAAACACATTGGGATAAACATTTCACAATATAAGTCAAGTCATTATGCTGTACATCTTAAACTTACACAGTTTAATTGATGCTGTATGTCAATTATATCTCAATAAAACTCAAAAAAATAAAGTAAAATAAAAAGACACACAGCCCCCCCCCAAATTTGTGTAAAACATAACTGTGCCTTTGGCTTGTATTTATCAAACAATATATATGAGGTTTTGTGTTCCTAAGCTACTGAACCTCTATTGTTTTTATGCTTCAAAAAGCCTGTTCCTTAACAACACATAGACTCCTAAGTGAATTTATTATACTAAATAGATGTTCACCAGATAGATGTGAACAGCCCAGCTCTGGAGTCAGATGGGCATGAGATCACTTCCGGTTCTGTCACTCACTTGCTGTGAGATTTGGCCGAATTACTCACCCAGCTCTCTAAGCCTTAAGCTATGATATAGGGTTCATGGGTTTTTCACTTATTGCCTATGAGGATAAAATAGAACCTATCTATCTCACATCATTGTAAGGATTAAATAAAATAATGCTTTAACAGCGTTAGCACAGTGCCTAGCACTTGATAAATCTCAATAAATTCATTCATTTACTGAACACACTGAATATCTACTGTGCGCCAGGCAGTGTTGTATGTGCTGAAAAGAGAGCTATTAACAAAAAAGACAGAAATCTTTGCCCAAATGGGGTTTGCTTAGGGAAAATTTATAGAATAAATAAGTAAAATATAGAGAGTGAGAAAAGGGGCAATATATAAACTGTTAGATTGCGATAAATGCTAAGGAGATAGCAAAGCAGCCAAGGGGATTGTGAAATGGCAGAAAGGGGAGGTCTGACATTTTGGATAGGTGCCAAGGGAAGTCTAATTGTGATGGAAGCTTTTGTGTGTAAAAACCTGATGGAAGTAAGGGAGCTCCCCGTGCAGATATTCCAAGAGAGGAAAAGCAAGTGTAAAGGCCCTGAGGTTACGAGTACCTAAGGTGTTCAAGAAACGATATGAAGATCTGAGCCACTGGAGCAAAGTGAGATCCGTAAGTGATGGGGCCAGAGACCTGGGGGCCTGGTGAGGACTCTGGATTATGCTCTGAGTGAGATGCCACCGAGGGGTTTCCGGCAGAGGGTCACATGAATACACTCACTCTGCCTGTTACTAAATAAAAGGAAAAGCATAGTAATAATAATAATGATGGTGATGATAATTACACTTAAAATCAGCTTTGTTTTCCCTGCTACTTAATTAACATCACAATTTTAAGATCTCTTATTAAAAATAGAAACCTACTGGAATAATACTTTAGAGACAACTGGCAGAGCTTCATCAACAGACTTAAAGGACTTGCATCCCAAATGCGTCTTAAACGTCACAGAATTTGTACATTTAAGGGAAATAAAAACTGTCTAAAAGCACCTTAGGACCTGCATAAACCTGGCAGTGCGCGTCACGGGCAGGACCAGGCGATGATATTTTATGCTTTTCCTTTGCTTTAAGGTATGCTTTTTCAAAAAAATCATAATATGAACCCCTCACTAGCTCATACTCATTATGATAATTATTTCCCAGATTTACTAATCATTTATGAGGTCTCAAATATTTTTTATGTAGAACAATGTGGCCTCTGGTCCCAAAAGGTTTTCCTCTGACACCAGAAGAGGGGCACGTGGACTCCCCTCAGGCACTTTGTTAAGGATCACAGACAGGGGAGTTTTGCTGTCATTTGTTTTTGGAAGTGACAGCCATAGCAAAATGGTATTTTGAAGAAAAAATGATCTGAGAACAAAAGCCAAAATGAAGTTAGAAGAAAGACTTCCAACAATTACTTATTGCTTAAAAGAAGTCCTTAAATAATGAGGTTTTACTCCCTCATGAAAACTTTGATTTTATTATGAAACTTGAAAATCAACTTTATTTATAAAAGCCACATAGGCACATTATAGAAAGTCTGTAAAGCAGAGTCCATAAAGTCAAATTTTGTTCATGGAATATGGAGTATGTGACATTTCTAGCTTACTTTCAAGTACTTGCCAAATTTCACACAAAATTTTGAAAAGAAGGTTTTAATAACAACGTATGGGACACACACACTCATCCTCACCTACCTCCTTCCATCCAAACCAACCCTGAGAACTCTAAGTCAATAACTGATGCTCCTGCAGTCATGAGGCAATGCTCAGTTATGCAATGGAATGCTTGCTTGCCTTTCAGATGCATAGTTGGAAAAGAGCAACGCAAGAGGGGGCATAGTTTACCTCTGATACCTGTGCTATCATTTCATATGAAAATTACACTCTTCACAAACTGTATCCTGTCTGGTAACAACTGTATACAACAACAGGCTGTATACAGTTCTATGCAGACATATCAATAAAAACTATAAATAAGGGCAATGCTTAAGAGTCGGATAACTCCCACTGGCCACCTTTATCACTTCAGTACTGATCTCAATCAGTATTTATTTAGAATTAGATTTGAGGAAGTTGAGAACAAATGCAACACATTTCTAAAGTATAAGATGCATACTGACTATGATATGCTAGACAATTTCGGTTGGTTTGGGGACCTGGCAATAGAAAATACTGTAGAGTGAAAAAGGTATTCAGTTTGAATTCTGTTTCCACCCTTCTGGTCACATTAATAAAAAGCCACTTTGATACTAGAATGTTAATAAACACCCTGTGACAGATGAAAGATGGCTGTGAATGCAGGTAGGGAAGAGCAGAGCCTGGTCAGTTTTGTTCATTGTTATATTCCCCATGCCTAGGACTATACTTGACAGGAAGGAAGGCATTCGATAAGTACTTATTAAATGAGTGAATGAGGGGACTTCCCTGGCTGTCCAGTGGTTAAGACTCTGTGCTTCCAATGCAGGGGGCATGGGTTCAATCCCTGGTCAGGGAACTAAGAACCCCACATGCCAAGGGCACGGCCAAAAAAAAAAAGAGAGAGAGAATGATTAAACAAATGCGCCAACAGCTTTAGCTAACTTTCAGAGCCAGTACACCTCCATTAACCTTCACTACTGGGGCAAACGCATACCAATCTTGTAGCTGACAACAGACTTTTAAAAATGTAAATACTAGCGATTACAATTTTAAGATTTAATAACTAAAAACTGATAAAAATGATCTTTACAGGTAGGATTTCAGAAAGAAAAAATACAATTGAATAATTCCAAGTAAATAGTGAATTTTCTGTAATTTTTGTCTCCCTCTCATTTCTACCCTCATATCACTTTTCTCTGGAACAGAATGAAGGTATAGAAAATGATTTAACATCACAAACATTTCACATTGTTTCCCAACAGATCTAACGTTGTTAGAATAGAACTGAGTTACTTATTCTCAGATGGAGAAGTTTTAAGAGAAATAGGATTTCGGTGACGGCAAGCTTACAGCTACACTCTGCATCCAACCTCCTACCTGTGATGACTGCAAAGTAGAGGGACCACCCAAATGAGGGCACTTTTAAAAGTGAAAGGGCGTGCTGATAAGAGTCTGTCTGTGGCGACGTGTGTAAACCTGGACTATTCTGCAAAAATCGGAACTAAAGAGTGACCCTCAAAGATCAAGAAAATCAACTCACTTTGACAAGGCTTTTTTCCAAGAACTCACTAGACCTTGACTCCTATCTGAACCACTACTGTTTATACAGTAAACTACTTCTGTTAGGGCTTTTTACAAGGACTTCCATATATATTATCAGTTTATTCTTCACAATAATCCTATGAGTTAGTCAAGCAGCTACTCATTCAACGAAGAGTTATTGTGCCTATTTTCCAAATGAGAAAACTGAAGGAAATAAATGCATGTGACTAAGGAAGGTGGCACAGTTAAGTGTCAGAGTTAGGCTTTAAAATCCCATCTTTAACTCAATCCTGTCCCCCCTTTTCACAGCATGGCATCTACAGAGTCATTAGAATCAGAAAACGGCTGGAAGATTACAAGTCATGTTTTCCTCCATGAGGGAAATTTATTTATTATTTATAAGAAGAAAGTTCTACTGGCTCTTCTAAAGACTTGTGGTGGGGAATAGTAGAGGGATAGGAATTAAGAGGCATTTTTAATAAACTGGAGTTTCTGATTTTCTCAGGTACGTGCACAGTAGTTCATGAAGAAAATGCAATTTTCTCTTCTAATCAGGTCAAACTTTTACCATTTGGGTTACAATCAAGGACGAGGTGAAATGAGTCCTCTAAGAAATAATCACTCAAAGCACAGAGGGAATGCATGGGAAGAAGATTCACAGCTTGTTCTCAGGAAAAGTTTCACAGTGGATGTGGCAACTGAGAAGGATCGCCAGAGACACACTTGCTTTAAGAAGTGTGGATGGGATGGGAGGAGGGTGTTACAGAAGGAGAACAATGTAAGCTTGGTGTTTCCCAAAGTGGGTGGAACAGTGGAGTCCAAGGCTTGATTTTAGGTCATACACAGACAACTTTTTTTGTTGAAGTGTGGTTGATTTAGTGTTGTGTTGATTTCTGCTGTACTGCACGGTGATTCATTTATACATGTATACACGTTTTTTAATATTCTTTTTCATGATGGTTTATCATAGGATACTGAATGTAGTTCCCTGTGCTATACAGTAGGACCTTGTTGTTTATCCAGGAAATTCTATATATAAAAGCTTACATCTGCTAAAAAACAAACAAACAAACAAAACTTTTACCATTTGGAGGCAGCTGATGGAGTTCTGAAGAAGCATCTCGCACTTCCTCAGTTAACGGTAGTCATAAACAGACTTTGTAACTTTACAAAGTGTCTCTTTTGGACTTGGTTCAAGTATTCACAGCTGAGAGTACCCTTCCCTCTTGGATAACACAAGACATAGTGTGCACATATTTATAAAACACCATGAGGACCTTCCATTACATGTTTTAAACGTAAAATATTAACAATTTGAATGTGAATAGATGCTTTCTAAATCAGAGATGTTCTAGAGCATAAGTATCAGAAAGTAAAGGGGGGCAAGAAATTTAACTAAAATTTACTGGATAAAAAGGGACACTTTTTCATTGTCAGGATACTTGCATCTGGTTAGGGCAATACTCAAAATATCCCCAAAACAGCATGTGCTTCTTTTCTTTTTAAGTTCCTACAGTAAGAAAATCAACAAAAACTGCTTTAGACAGATATTCCTGTGACTCATATCCCAAAAAATCAAAAGGTTTTACTCAAGCCTGGAACTCCAACTTGGAACCTCTTATGTCACCTTCAGAGATGCTCAGGAAGATAACATGGTGGTTTTAAAAATAAGAGTCTTCTGTGTATCTTTGCTATGTGTATACACAAGAAAGCAGACCCAAGGATACTTAAAAGATGTAATCTGAAATGAAACGTCTCCTCACTGAACTTGACTCTGGCAACATAAATCAAATGGCTCTATAAAGAGATGGCCAGTTGGAGCAGAAAAGATGTTTTTGGCCTCTATATTTCTATGCACTCTGCATATGTCTCTTCTGATCATGGAAATACTGTGTTAGAATGATTTATTCATATACTGGTTTACTCCACCATACTGTCAGCTAGAGGGTAGGAACTATGTCTTTGAATATTTCCCTACTACCTATACAGTACTAGCACCAGATAAATAAACAAGTTATCGGGATATAAAAGTATAAATTGCACAGTAAAGAATGTAGGAATTAGAAGCAATGGTTGATGGGGAGAACAAGGGAAAACCAGTACAAACCATTTAGCTATGTTCAATTCTCACGGTAAAACAAATGGGATTTTCATGCTAAAGAGCTTCTACTTCTACAGGGATGCTCACTGGAGTATAAGGAACAAAAGTCCACTAGAACGAGCTGCATGAGGACAGGGGCCCTGTTGATTTGCTCATACAGTATCTCTCACAGTCCCAGTCATAGGGCAACTACTCAATAAACATTAGATGGTGGCTGGGCTTCGGGTGGATGGATGGATGGATAAATGAATGAAAATGCAAACTGACTAAATGGGGAAATCTTAGCCTACAAATTAAAACTCCACTGAAACTACACATCATTTGCCACTAATGGTTACTCATGCAATACCTGCAATAGTACTGGTTATTTCTCTCCTAAATGGCAAGCTCGATTTACCTTCTCTGTTCAAGACCTTTTCCACATGGGAAAAAAAGCCCCACAAAACTAGGTGCAATAGGGAATGTTTTCTATGGGGCTAGGTACAGTTATTTCCATCTTTATTCTCACTGATTCACTGTTCCTGAGTGACTTTGGCCTTGGATGCAGCAAGAAGTACGCTTCCAAGAACCTCATGGGGTGTTCAATTTGCCTTTACCTTCCTTTGACTGTCTCTTATCATCAGACTGTAAGTTAGTCTCTCCCAAGGACCACACAATGGTTGTTGGATACCTGGAAGCAACTGCATTGTCTATTCAATTGTTTGTATTATGTTTACAGAGTGTTTGCTTCGTCGTATCACTGAGTGGAACAGACCATGAATCACAGGCTATCAGATGAAATTGCTGTGTAGGTGTACAATCATTGCAGGGAACGAAGAACAAAAACATCATTCTATACCAGCTATGCTGTGTGTAATGATTTCCTTAAGTGGTTTTTGAAAAAGTCACAAAAGAGATATGCAACAATGCTGGGCATACAGGTACAGAAAATTGTATCATATCTATCATTTCAGGCAGAATGGCAAAATTATTTCCTCTTATACACTGCTTGACAGTAAACAGTGCATTCACATACACCATCTCACTGACTGTCAGAATGATTCTGAGAGGTAAGTAGGGCATAGCCTTGAATCTCCATTTTAAAGTGAGAAAATCAAGGTGTGAGAGGTTCTCTGACATATTCATACGAGTGAGTCTGAGTGTGTGTTTTGGTGGCAGGACTGACCAAGCTCTCCTAAATTCTAGCATGACTAAGCCCTTTGGGTTAACCTTCCTTTTTCCACAGCAAAGGCAATGCATAGTACCTGGTTTATTTCCTGTGTGGTTGCTATTTTGTCCTGAAATAGCAGAAGCAGGCCGATTGGAGGCCGCGGTTTTCTTATCTTGCACTTTGTTGCCATCAGGCGCTATACAAATGAGACAAAAGAGAAAAGACATATTTAGTTTCTTAAAATTTATTCAGAAACATTCACATATTCAACATTTACTGTTAACCCTTGTATCAAGTGCTAGGCTAGATTCAGGAGATATAAAGATTAAGCAGCCAACAACCCCTGCCCTCAAGGAGCACACTGTTCAGTGGGAAGAACACATTCAAAAATCAATAGCCCAGGGGCTTCCCTGGTGGCGCAGTGGTTGAGAGTCCGCCTGCCGATGCAGGGGACACGGGTTCGTGCCCTGGTCCAGGAAGATCCCACATGCCGCGGAGCGGCTAGGCCCATGAGCCATGGCCGCTGAGCCCGCGCGTCCGGAGCCTGTGCTCCGCAACAGGAGAGGCCACAACAGCGAGAGGCCCGCGTACCGCAAAAAAAAAAAAAAAAAAAAAAAATCAATAGCCTCAGCTCAACTAACCAATCCTACAGTGGTGGCATGTTCAGGGTCCACGGAGTTGTTCACCCCGGCTGTCCCAGTTTATACATAAAGCAACCAGGAAGAAATAAGACTGGGATCTAGAGCCTCTGATCTTTGTTCTTAAAAAGGTCATACATTAGGAACCAAAAAATTCCAAGAACATAACCAAGCAGGTCACCAAAAGGGAAACAGGGAAATAATTTACTAGGATTTTGGAAACGCCTCTAGCAAATGTTCAATAACAAAGATTATTCAAGAGACTAAGGGAAATGTACTCTAGAAAGGGACCGAAGGGCAGAAATATCAGGCAATTCTCTGGTTATATAAAGTATAGGGTCCTTCAGGTAAATTGTTCTTCACACATATGACTTGAATATATTTTTAAAAGATATTTAAAGTATCTTTGCTACTTCTCACAAATCATGTCAAAAACCAAGCCCTTGTTATTCCCTGCCTCCTACCCTCTGCCTTAAAATCTGTTCCACCCAGTCTTCCCCACCCATTCAGGCAACTCCATTTCTCCAGTAGATTAGGCCCAGAGCCTTGGAATCATCCTTGATTTCTCTCCTCCAATCACTCCCCAAATTTGATGCATTACTAAGTTCTTACAGCTCTACCTTAAAAAACATCACCTCTACCACTACCTTTCTGATCTCCTCTTCCCTGTGAGACTGCAATATCCTCTTAACCAGTCTCCCTGACCCCACCACTGATCCTCTTCAGTCTATTCTCATCTCGGCAGCCAGAGTGATCCCATTAAATCATAAGTCATGTCACTCCTCGGTTCCAAGGTCTAACAGCCGTCATCCCACTCAGAGCAAAATTCAAGGTCTGTCCATGGCCTACAAGGTACTATATGGTTTGGCCTTTACCTTGTACCACTTTCCCCCTTAATTACTCTGATAATACTGACTCAGATCATCATACTCAGATCATACTGACTGACTTAGTCCATCTCAGAGCCTTTGCATGTACCTGAAATGTTCTTCCCCCAGATGTCAACACGGGTCTCCCCTTCACTTCCACTAGGTCTCTGCTCAAATGTGACATTAGAGTCCCCTTGATCTATCTAAAATAGCACCTCTATCACTCATTACCGCCCACTCCTTCTTTTTTTTTTTTTTTTTTTTT